GAGCAGCTTGAACTAGCCCTGGTCTTTCTCTTTAAGACCTACAGACCTCGCTGCACCATTTACAGATYGTTGACAGGACAGCGCGGGCGCTGGCAGCAGCGCGGGCCGAGCTGGAGCCGGTGCTGCGGGAGCGAAGGCACCGGGTGGTCGTGCTCCTGGACGACCCACGCTGCACGTCCTGTGCCAGCGTCCTGGGCAGGGCGCAGAGCCTGGAGCTGGGCGCCGACTACAACAAGGTGGGGATGGGGTCTCGTCTCCTACCTTCACCATCACCTCACTGACCAGCTGCCCCGGGGTTCACGGCTTCCTTCTTCCACTCCAAGGTGCCATCCGTGGAGAAGGTTTTGAAGGWGCTGGATGGTCTGCCCCGAAGTGACTTTGCAGAGATGATTCGCCAGGTTGGAGGGCCCGGGTGAAGCAGCAGAGTCCAGCACCTGCAGGCAGCTCCAGCTGCTCAGCATCTCCTCTTTCCTTGCAGGGCAATGGTACATTCAACTCCATCCCGGAGCTGGCCGTGGAGAGGATGGCACAGGTCATCCAGGGTGAGTGGGGCTGCCAGACCGAGTGGGGACACCCTCCATGGGGTGAATCCCAATTTGGGGATATGGGATGGGATGCAGGGACCATCCACCCCTCCAGCATARCTCTGGTCCTGCAGATCTGCGGGAMGATTTGGCCCGCATAGCAGAGAAAGTGCAGTCCATCGCTGACAGCTTCCCCCTCCCTGACTACACCCGGCCCGTGAGCGAAGCCCTGGTGAAGGTGGAGGAGCGGAGCCAGCCGTACCTGCGGGAGGTGGAGCTGTTCGAGCGGTACAGGTGACCCTGGGAGCAGGACGGGGTGCAGGAGGTGCAGCAGAGAAGGGCACTGAGCCCCTGCTGAGCCCCAGGTGCCTCAGCCCCGCATCTGGAGGCTGTGCCCTGCTCATCTTTGCTCTAGGTGGATCKCAGGCATGGTGCTGTGCTCCATCATCCTCCTCGTCCTCGCCTGCAATGTGATGGGAATGGCCCTGGGAGTGTACGGGCTCTCTAAGCGGAAGGACCCCAGCGACCACGAGTGCCGAGGAGAAGCCGGTGYCAAGTTTCTCCTGGTGTAAGAGTCCCTCTGGGTGCTGCGGGGACTATTCCATCTTACCCCCTCCCCCCCAACCAACCAACCAAACCCAAAAAAAAAGCCCCAAAAAACAAACCAGAATGGCAAAGCCAAGGGAGGGACTGGGAGCCATCCCAGCAGAAAAGCTTTTAAAGCCACCGCCTGCGCCAGCAGGTTTGGAAGGAGCTGCTTCTCCCTGGGATCTGGCAGCTGCTGTGCCCCGGCACACCCCGCTCCCAGGGCCCTTCCCAGCCCGGCGTGCCCAGGCTCGGGAAGGAGCTGCGGGGCTGCAGCTGGACGGGCAGGTCCCTTCCTGCCCGCTCAGCTCTGCAAAGCAGCCGCCAGCACCTCTTCTCCCTCTTTCAGCGGCGTGGGCTTGGCTTTCCTGTTCTCCTGGCTCCTCATYCTCCTGGTTTTTGTCACCTTCCTGGTTGGGGGCAACATCCAGACACTGGTTTGCAGGAATTGGGTCAACCAGGAGATTTACAAGGTGGGTGGCCACACATCCGTYCATCGCCTCATGAATCTCTGCTTGTGTGCACCAAAACACTTCCAAAGCTCTGTGTCTTGCCCCTAAACCCGACTGGAAAAGCCCCATCCTAGATCAGGGGATTAAGTTTGGGATTAGCTCCTTGGATTTGTATCATCATCTGGGAATAGCCCTTGTGCTGTTAATAGAATTCCTKCAGGATTGCTGTTTCCTGGTCCTTGGGATCCCTGGGGTACTTGGGGCTGGCAGCATGGTGTGATGGGGCTGAGAGAGGGACTGGAGGAGTGGGAATGGGATCAGGACTTTTCCCATGGCAGTGCCACAAGCAGGTCCCAGCATGGAGCTGTCCCTTCAAACATGCCTGGTGAGGCTCTGCAGTAGGGAATGTACAAACAAAGGCAAAATCAGTCCAGGCTAGGATGAGCCCAGGATGCACCTGTAAGGACAGAACACCCCCAAAATCACTGCTGGGAATGCCTGTGCCTTACCCTGACCCTCTTTTTCCTCCTGCTTGGCACAGTTTATTGACACCCCTGGGAATCTCCCTCCGTCCATGAACCTCACCCGCCAGCTCAACCTCAGGAGGGACTCCAACCTCACCTCCATGTACCGGTGGGTGCCACAAGAGCCCCTCCATGCAGCAAGGGCAGATTTGAGATCACTCTGCCAACATCCCTTTGCCTTCCAGGGAGTGCAAGASTGGTGCAGGGCTGTGGGAGGTGCTGCAGCTTGACAGGTCCTATGACCTGAACGAGCATCTAAAAACCCCCAAGGTGAGGGCTGGCTCCAGCCAATGCTTCTGTAACGGCACCAAGATGTGCGAGTTTTACTGGGGTTACTGGGCACCCTGCAGAATCCCTTGTCTGACCCTCACAGTACATGGCCGATTTCCAAAAACGCCTGGGTGACTTCAGGGCACATCTGGGAGACATCCGGCTCCTCCGCAGCGAGGGCAGGCAGGACCTGGAGACCTTYGCCCGCAGTGGTGTGGATGAGGTGGACTATGGGCGCTTCCAGGAGGAGGTGAGCGATGCTTGGGAGGAGCTGCATGACATGTCCCACACCAGGGCTGCCTTCCTGGCTTCCAAAATGTTGGAATTTCAAAAATTCCAAAATTCCGTTTTCCCTCAGATGAAAAATCCCGTGGTTCAGACAAGCCTCCCTGGCTTGGCGAGRAACCTTGAGGGGCTGCAGAAAATGCAGGTGAGTGGTGGAGCGGGCGGCAGAGAACCCCTCCGTGCCCATGGGAACATTCTCACCCTGCTGTCACCCYGCAGAGGAACAGCACAGTGGCCMRGCGGCTCGGGGCTGAGGCACAGGCRCTGTGGCAGATGCAGAACTCCAYGGTGCAGATGCAGGAGGCATTAGTGGTGAGTTCGTGCTGGGCTGGTGGCAGTGGTGTCCCCTTGAAGGGGAAAACGGGGCTTTTGAACCCTTCTCACCTCCCTGTCCCACAGGCAAGGCTGGGGGAAAGCGTCCAGTTCCTCTCCCGCTTGGCACCACAGCTCAAGGTACTCACACAACTCTTCCAGCCCCAAAAACATGTAGTGCCCCATGGGTCCCATCTGCCACAAAAAAACAGTTACAGGGTGATGGGAGAGCCAGGGAAAATGCCATCCAGGAGAATGGGTCTATTTTAGTGATGAGATTTGCTGTTGCAAATCAGAGATCACCCTGCAAAGGGGTTTTCCTGCTCRGGGAGCATCCCTCTTTTCCTGCCTCCTGGCAACCAGACCCAATTTGAAGGTCAGCATTGCTCCCAGAACCCCTTGGGCACCCATCCCACTGCTCTGGGCCCTAAGGATGCTCTGCCCTCCCTGTGTTTCCCCAGGAGCAGGTAAAGAGGACACTGGCCACCACGGCCTCAGTGGAAGCCCGTCTGCCCATGCAAGCCCAGCAGATCCTCCGGCAGGTGAGCCAAGGCTGGATTAACCATCRCAGGGTACAGATTCCCCACAGCCAGAAGGAAAGAGTAAAAACAGGGAGCTGCAAGAAGGCACTGGGAGCCTCCAGCCCTCATTTCCCAGCAGTGGTTGGCTCAGAAACACAGGGCTGGGTTGGGAGCAGGGGGTTGGGGCCAGGGAATGCAGCAYTCTCCCTCCATGCTGCCTTTCCTCTGCCCAGGAGCTCGGCTGCTTCACCAGGAAGGCGCTGCGGTAYTTCAGCCAGTACCTCAACTGGGTCGGGCAGACGGTGAGTGCTCYGCTGCACCCCATGGGGATTCTTGGGGCTGAGGAGTCACCATGGATCCCTCACACAAGCCCCAAACTGAGGCAGAAAAATGCATCCCAGGAGCYTGGAGTGGGTTGATGCCTTGTGTTTGCTTCTTGTTCCAGCTCAGGGAGGACGTGGCTTCGTGCCAGCCGCTTGCCACGGCCCTGGACAAYGGGCGAGTCATCCTGTGTGACCGAATTGCAGAGCCTTGGGTAAAGSTCTCACCCCTCCATGGATGTCCCGTCAGGAGCTATGGGAGCYCCCCCAGAGCCTGGGGCTCCCCCTCCCCACACAGCTCAGCCCCGTGCCCTCTCCTTGCAGAATGCTTTCTGGTTCAGCCTGGGATGCTGCACCTTCTTCCTCATCCCCAACATCATCTTGGCCGTCAGACTCACCAAACACTTCCGCCCCATCCGCAACCGCCTCATGTGAGCAGTGGGCTGGGAGGACACGGGTGCAGGGGATRGGGGCTCCTCCCTGAGCCCCTCCAGACTTTCTTCTTCTCCTTTACAGCTCTACAGGGTCAGAGGAGACTTGTCCCTTCCACATCCCGCGGGTCACGGCCCTAAAGCTCTAGGAYGGGGATCTGCCGGGTGTGGTGCCCCCAGGAGCTCCCACAAAGCCATGCCCTGCTCTCCAGGAGCTCCCATCGAGCCTGTGCCCAAGCACTGCAGGGCTCTGGATCCCTCTGACATCTCACAGGCCTTTGGATCTCTCTGCCGTCTCTTCCTCGGTGTCCTTTGGGGTCTGGCATCCTTCCCGAGTGCGGGGCACCTGAAAATGGGAGTCCCTCTGACATCTGTTCCGAGGCCTTCTTGGGGGGCTGGGCAGCTCTGGGCAGAGTGTGACATTAAAGCCCTCCCCAGCCAAAGCTGCTGCAATTCCTTTGTAYGCCCGTTCTCCCCAGGGAGCAGTTCTGGGGGGCCTCTGGGGATCAGTGGGATCTCAGGGGCTGACAGGGTGCCATGGCCAAGGGAACCTGCAGGGCTGGGGGCTCTGGGGCCAAGGGCTCTCAGGATTTGGAGGGGCTCTGGGGCTGAGGGGACTCCGTGGCTTTGGGTTTGAAGGGGTTCAGCGGGGCTCTGGGGCTGAGGGGACTCCGTGGCTTTGGGTTTGAAGGGGTTCAGCGGGGCTCTGGGGCTGAGGGGCTGCCACAGCCAAGGGGAGCTTCAGGGCTGAGGAGGGGTGGGACTGAGGGGAGTTCATGGCTCAGGGGATTTGGGGACTGAGGGGAGCTCATGGCTCAGGGGATTTGGGGACTGAGGGGAGTTCATGGCTCAGGGGATTTGGGGACTGAGGGGAGTTCATGGCTCAGGGGATTTGGGGACTGAGGGGAGTTCATGG